TCATGGGAAACCACAGCCATTTGCATAATGCTATGCCGTAGTACTACCGACTACCTCAAGTTTCATTCATAAGAGTTTGCCATGTGCAAAAACTATTAACACCATTGGTCAGGGAAAGCTTTAGTTAATTAGTCATGCAAAGTTGAAAGTTCAAAATAAGTAGATACCAAACAACATTTTAGGGGGTGCGTTGCCTTATATAGACTATATAGCATTTACCGGTATAATGGGCGCTGAAGACTTTGGTAAACAGAAATCTGAAAAGCCATGCCCACATTTAACTATACATTATATTAAATTTACTGATATTAAATAGTGCATAGTTAGATAAGCTACAATTTATCTATAATTGTTAACATTATTAAACTTTTTTTTTAATACAGCATTCAGCATTAGTTCTGAAAATGAAAATAAAATTATCATTAAAACAAGAGTTATAGTTATATAGCTGGTGACGCCAACAGCGGAATTGGGTACCAGAAAATGAAAATGGAGATGCGGTCCATGTTAAAAAAGGACAAATTAAGTCATACTTTAAAATTCATAACTTTAAAACAACAACAGCTAAAAATATGATTTTGGTGTTATAATTCTTTACAAAAATTAGCTTTATTCAACTATGCCATTGGTTTATTTTTACAAAAAGTTTTTATTTTTCTAATCAAAGTGCCTAAATTAAGGCAATGAAATTTGAGCGCGATTAAGTATTTTAGTGGTATAAAATTAAAACTTCCTCTTTACCTGATGGAACTAAAGGCCTAAAATAGCGTCTTTTTGTTCATGTACAATAAACATTTAACAAAATTGAACAAGGTTAAAAAAAAAAACAGTAGCCTACATTTCATGAATCTTTTGTCATAATTGACGCCATTGTGGGAAAACAAGGAGAACTCTTCTGTCTTCAAAGATACGTTATAAAAGTTGCCTAATTGGATATATTTAGATTTAAATAATTTTTTAAACATTTTATAGATCTATCTACTTTGTCTGATATTTCTTTCTAGCCCACTGGATCCATGCACAGCAATGTAAAGGTGGTAGTCGCAAGGGACCTTAATATCAAGGGGCGCATTCGCCCAGGGCCCTACTTTTCCTTGGCACGGTTGTGCATCCATTACGGACGTAACGCGGCTAGAATTTTGAGGGTGGGGGTTATGTCATAGTTATGTGGGAAATATTTGTTAAAACTTTAAATAAAATTGTCAATTTCCTTTCTTAAAATTTGTGACAGTTTCGATTTCTTTCTCAATAAATAGCTGGTGATTTACTAAGACTAAGAGGCAAAAAGCGGGAAAGTAATGAAATATATGTCAGTAGCGAAATAAACACAATTGCAAACAGATGACTAACAAAGCAACTTGGCTCCATCCAGATACATAAAATCACTAACACTGCCTCTCATTTTACTCACCACAAACCAGAGTCAACTGAGGTGGCATCTAAATAATTAAGTTCCATCTATCAAATTAGAGCTGACCAACCACAGACCATTTAAATAGCTTATTTGCCTACTATGACTCACAATTGTCGAGAAAAAGTCAATCCACTTGCATAAGAAGGGGGCTGTGGAGAGGGTGGTCCACACAAGTGCCACTTTTTTTTTAAAATTTATAATGAAGGGCGGCATTTTCGGCGAGCTGAAGAGTTATTTTTTTTTTAAATTAGTGGTAGTGGGTGGCACAACTTTCTAGTGAACATATCGCAACATAACCCCTGGTCCGCTCGAAACGTTTCCCAGATCTGCTCATTATGAGGACACGTTACACATCACCCAACGCTTGGACATTGGTCGCTCTCTCAGTCTCTGTTGTTGTCGGAATTCTATTACGTAGCCGAGTCTCTCGCTTCGCACCTTTTTTTGCCCATGCGCCGTTTCCCTTGTCTGGTCTGCTGATTACCAAAGTAATTCTCTTATACACTAAAGTAATACGTCGGCATAGCTGGAGCGACGTGGCCTCCACGGCTTTGCCATGTTTCTGTTTTGTAAGGCTGTGGGCAGCAACGCAGTCGCCGCGGCTTACCCGTGTATAGGTTTACTTTAAGCAGATTTCTGATCGTTAAGTCTGCATAAACTTTATGGTTTGTGTCCGCAGCAGGTGGCCGCGCAAATGAACGCAGGCCAAGTAAACCCACAACTCACCATAACACACCCAAACACAGGACTAGTGAACCAACGGACAAGTTAACACGCAGAAAAGCGATTACCGGTATATAGAACTAGAACATAGACAGCTGAACCCAACAACTGGGTTTGAAAAGGCCTTGTTGAGATAATTTTCATTCTTGACTTGTTCTTGCAAATTTATTTTCACTGCTAATTCGCTATGATTGTTTCCGAAAGATTTCAGCTACTTTTATAAAGATGTAAATGTTTTTTAATGTGCTGAAAATTATTTTACAAAATTGTGTAAATAACCATTTTTATTATATTTCTTGGGCAGATTTTTGTTTCCTAAGCTGAGTCTCTTGATTTCTTATTAAAAAAACACTAACATGTTCTACAATATTGTTTAACATTTGTAAAAAATATCTAGAAAATTCTTATCTTTTATGATAATTTCACATTGATATGCTTTAAATTTCATTTTATTTGACTCCTATATATCTAATAAATATGTTTATGAAGACCCAGCAGGGGAGAATACTCTTTATTATACTCTCACCAATCCAATGTCGCAGACTATAGTGGACTCTTTTATCAAAGAAAATAAAACTCGTGTTTTGCGGGAAATATGTCACGTGACCAGTTTGGCGCGGAACCATTGCCTTGGGATTATCTTGCTGTTATTTTTTCATTGTAACGTATTTCAATTGGATTATTTTTTTATGATTGAATTCTTTATCGCCCATCGCTTTCAATAATTGGAAGATAACAGTCGAAGATGGATAACACGGAACAAGCAGTCCGAGCCAACCAAGTTAAGGATCAAGTTGGCGAACGCTGCCAAAAATTGTTTCAAGACTTCCTAGATGAGTAAGTTGATAAAACTTAAAGAAACATACGATACTATACATACTAAATAATATAGCCTATATTTATAAATAACCTTTTGCTTAGTGATATTGCTTTGGATACGTCCTTTTTCTGATTATAAACACCCAGAACAAACTATAGTATAGCAAAATGATCTTAATTTAAGGTAATAAACCTGCATGTACTGATATAAACTATAATTAGTATAATACTAGGAATGGGATGTCTGTGGCGGCATAGGCAAAGTCTTCATTCATAAAAAAAATATGGACATAGTCTCATACCCATAGTCATAGTCATACGCCTCCTATTCAATTTAATTGTCAATTTTTTTTTATTGAATTGTAATTTTCAATATTGAAGTCATGAAGTTCTTAATATAAATTATGATTGAATGAGCCCAATGAATAATGATGAATGGAATACTGCCAAGGCCTAATAATACAGTTGTTATTTTTAGGCAGTAGGTGAGTAGGCACTGTCACATAATTTATTAATTGAAACCTAGGCTGATAAAAGAAAGCCAAAATAAATTAGCATAGCCATGCTATGCTATACTATCTTACAGATTTTTAGATGTGAATATTGTTTTCAGAGTTAGCCATTGCCATTGTAAAAAAGGATTTGCCTCACTGCAATTTTAATACAATACTATTTGTAAATAAATACAGTGAAACCTGGAGCCAGGAAATTAAAAATACTCTTGCCCTTGTGTTGGGACTAAAGCAAAAGTGATCATGATGCAGAATTTAGTATGAAAACAAAGTTTGTTTCAAAATAATTATTTTTTAAAGGCGGGAAAAAAAAATTTAAAGGGAAGGTGCAAGTGGAAAAAATATAAACTTGTTAATAAATTATTACACCCCCCCCCCCAAATTACCATTACAACTAATTTCCTCTCTAAAATGGCTCCATTTTGAACAATATGGACCATCAAAGGATGAATATGGATGGAGAATACAAACCAAACAGGAATTATAAGTCTATATCAGGATCCCACGATAGTATAAGAAATAAAATGGGTAGGCTATCATTACAACTAATTTCCTCTCTAAAATGGCTCCATTTTGAACATCATACATTACTTCCTGCATATTGGTTTTGAATCATTTGCTTTCATTTACTTTCTGATTATTACAATTACAATCTTTTTATGATAATTATGCATATGGTTTTTCCCTTCCTCTAACTAAATTGTTTGAACTAAAATTTGCTATACCAGGTTTCAGGGAGATGGAGAAAGTAAATATTTATCTGCTGTCCAGGATTTGATTAGACCAGAAAGAAACACACTCTCTGTTAGTTTTGAGGACATTGAAACATACAATCAACAGCTTGCAACAACTATATTAGAGGAATACTACAGGTAGGAATATGGAAGTGATATGCTCTACAATTAGTTTTACAAGTTTTATGTTGTTTTTAAAATGGCTTGTGAACAAACAGTAATTAACAAAGGATGATACCATTGATTAAATATAATTAAGAAAGAACCATACCCCAACTAAGGCCAATGACAAGTAAGTTTAAGCAACAATTTATTTATAATTTATACTAACAAAAGTAAAAAATTAAATATATAGAAATAAAAACTCTATTAACTTACAGCATGTGAAAACAAAGAATTAGAGAAATTTAAAATCTTAATCCACACACAAACACAAGGAAAACTGTTTCAGTCTCTTGTTTCTCATATCTATGTCTGATACGGCTGGCAAGTCTCTCTTATTTATAGTCTAGGACTAGGAGGGAGACCTTTCTAGAATTGAACCTTTAGTATAAAAGGGCGAGCTAGAATTATCCATAGCTATTAAGAACCTTCTATTAAGTTCAAGAGAATCTGTTTTTGGACAATAACCCGCCAACATAGGGGCGAGTTAATTGGTTTAGCAGTTATAAAAACAGATGAGAGACAGCTCTGTGACACAACTTAGCGTTGAACAAAAATTGAGGCCATCGAGGTTTAGATCTACACTCAGGGCTGTAAAATAATAGGAAGCATTTGTGGTCATTGAAAATTTATTGAACTAATGCATAAATTACACACACCTAGACACTACTAACATTTGATCAAATAAATTTCGTCTAAATTTACAGATTATTATTTTATATGCCAATAAAGAAAATTAAATTCTTGTTATAAATATTTTATGTGGCCAAAAGTTATTAAATAAATAAGGTTTGTTCTCACTGGTATCAACATTTACAGGGTGTACCCATTCCTTTGTCGGGCAGTACGCAACTATGCAAAAGACTGGGGTCAGATTCCTACTGGAAAAGAGTTTTATCTTAGTCTCACAGAAGTTCCAACAAAGTTGAAGTATGTTATTTATTTTTTTAATTGTTAAAATTAGAAAGTAGAGATGTTTTTTTAAATTAAATAAGTTGTGCATGTTTGTAACATTCCATTTCTCATAACACTTTCAATTATATTTTGAAGTAATTACCAAAAGTTCTTTTTTTTTTTCTGTAGCAAAACCAGCTTGAATGTATTGAAGAACCCATGTATTTTTTTGTTTTGTTTTCTTTTTTAAGAGTCAGAGAAATGACTACAGTGAAAATAGGATCGTTACTGCGCATCACAGGTCAAGTGGTTCGCACACATCCTGTCCACCCTGAACTTGTTAGTGGAACTTTCATGTGTCTTGACTGTAGAACAGTGATTAAGGATGTCGAACAACAGTTTAAATACACTCAGGTAATTTACAATTTGTTTAAGCTAGGTAGTTAAATTTTTAAATTTTTTTTTTTAAGCAGCCGCTAATTGCTAAGCTTTTAACAGAGATCCTGGGGTCTTTCTTGATTTAATTCTAAATTTATAATATGTCGAAAGATAGATTGAACTTAAAATATCTATTGTAGTTATATTTTATAATTTGGGTTTGTATTTTCATTTTTCTGAAATCGATATTAACATCTTGATTTACCTTCTTCAACTCTTAGTTTCTGGTAGCTTCTAATATGATTTATTTTTCTCTTTTAAAGCCAACTATATGCCGAAACCCAGTATGTGCAAATCGCTCAAGATTTATGTTAGATGTTAACAAGTCCAGATTTGTAGATTTCCAGAAAGTAAGAATCCAGGAGACTCAAGCTGAATTGCCCAGGGGTAGCATTCCCAGAAGGTAAGTAACTTTTGAATTTATACTTTTATATGTAGGGAATATTTTTATAAAGGCAGAGATAATTTTTCTTGTTAAATTTTAATGTAAAAAGCATGTTAAAAATCATTACAACAGAAAGCACTGTTTACTTACTAAACAATTTAAAAAAGTATTATGTTACATAATCTTATCAATCTAAGTTTATGGGTTAAAAAAAACTAGTTAATATTCATACAATTCAGGGATTAGGTAATAAACTAGGCTACTATGAAATACATAACTTTCTATCTTTTTAAAGCCTCCCATCATCTATAAAAATGAATGGACTGTTTGGTTCTACTTTCTAACATTTAATTGCTTTGTCTGCTTTTTCTATGTTAATTCAGTGTTGAAGTAATTTTAAGAGCTGAAGCAGTAGAAACAGCCCAAGCTGGTGATAGGTGTGATTTTACAGGAACTCTAATTGTTGTACCTGATGTTGGATCAATGTCTCAGGCTGGTGAGTAAAAAAGAAAGAGCTTTTAGTAATTGTCTTAATTTTAAAGTCACTTTGATGTTAGTTGATACTGTATTGTGGCTTAATTTTAAAAAAAAACATTTTTTTCGTTGCTGTGCATAGCTCTTATCACATATTTCTCAAAAGAAAAAAGAAGTCTTTCTCATTCTTATGCACAAGTTCCAATTAAGCTCTAGAAATCATGGGGATTTTAAATAGTAATCGTTTTTTTGCACTGAGCTAACAATTTATTCTTTGTCCTTGAAGGGGCACGAGCAGAGACATCTGCTAAAGTAGGTCAGGGAGCAGATGGATATGAAACAGAAGGTGTAAGAGGACTGAAGACACTCGGTGTCAGAGATTTAACTTACAGACTTGCTTTTCTTGCTTGTACAGTAACCCCAAGTAACTCAAAGGTATCCATTTTTTGTTACCCAATAAAAAAAAAAAGAGAAGACTTATTTAACTGGTTAACTACCATGCACCACTGGGATCGGTGTTTCTTTCGTTATGGCCAGAAGCTGCTGGTAGTGCCAATGTTTGTATAGTAGTAAATTGAGTAAAATATTTCTATTATTTCGTTCCCGTTTTGCTTCGAGATTTTAAGTTACGGACATGATGTTTATATTCGAACAGCATGCTATCAGTAGAATGTTTTTAAAAAATGAGCTGTATTAACAATTAATAATTTCCTAACAAAGCATAACTTTACAAATGTTTATATTATAGACAATTCATTTAACTACAAAATGGTTTATTAATAATTAGAATATGTTTATAATTAAGAAAGCTGCAGCTGAATTTGTACATACACCTAAAATGAGAAAATGTGACCTAGATTTAATTCGGCTAAATAAGGTTGTTCAATCAGGTAGTTAATCAGTTAATGAAATGTTTTTTGCAAAATTGTAGACAAGCAAATGTAAACATTAATTCCAACATCTTGTTTCTAGTTTGGTGGGCATACATTCCGTGAAGAAGACATGACTGCAGAAGCTTTGAAAAAACAGATGAGTGATGATGAATGGCAAACAGTGTATGATATGAGTCAGGATAAAAATTTGTACCAAAATTTTTGTTCAAGCCTTTTCCCAACCATTCATGGTGAGAAATTTCTGCAATCAAAATTTAGATATAATTTCTTCATGCTTTCATAATAATATTCATCACACTGCTCGTCCCATTCTAAGATAGCCATTTCTTTTAAGCAATTCATGATTGTTTTTAGTTCTGCTGAAGTGAACTAACAAAACTGTTGAAAATTCTACTAGGCAATGATGAGATAAAGAGAGGTATCTTGCTAATGTTATTCGGTGGTGTACCAAAAGTAACAACTGAGCGTACAAATCTGCGCGGCGATATCAACATCTGCATTGTGGGAGACCCTAGCACAGCAAAGTCACAGTTTTTAAAACAGGTGAATTTAGGCTTAGAGTAATGGCAGGAAGTTTTTAAAAATTACTTTTCGCCTAGCATATAATTAGTTACCACAAACTGATTTTTCAAAACAGTCCTACAGCTTTATTTTATACTGTCATGTCAAGAACTCATGATTCTAAGAATGTGGATACCAAACTTGTTCATATAACTCAATTAGAAAAAAAAATTATGAATTTTTAAAATTTAGTATTTTGAATTTTTTTTACGAGCATCTAAATTCCCATTTTCGTAAGGTTATATCTGTAAAATCCTTATACTCATTCACTCACTCTCAACACATACCCACATATATAGAGAACAGACTCAATTTTTCTCGAAGGTTTAAAATAATTAATTCATTAAATTTTATTTCAATAAAAATGGTGTTTCCTCTCATTTTGAAAAAAAAAAAGGCGGAAGTTAAAAACGCAATATTTGCACATTTTCAAAAAATCACCAAAAATTAACAGAAAAGAAAGCATACATTATAATTATATAAAAATGTAGGGGAACTTAAGGTCTATGTGCTTAAACAGCCTGTGCACCCATAACAAGCATATATAAAATACAAAAATTGTTAGAAAAGTGCATGGGTTCACGGGAATCAAAAAATCTGTCATATTTTAAAAATTGCGAAAAATTAATAGTTACGTCCACAGTTAAATTTATTATACCAAAATACAGAATAACTATAGCTCTACATATTTAAACAGTCACTGAGCCCATTACTTATTTAGATACAATACAAATGATAAAAACTTGTTAAGGTACTACTGATTAGAGAAAAAGGTCTGTTTAATTTTCACTTTGTTGGCACCTCTGTATAATTTCTTGTCATTTCATTTTAGAATGTCTAAAAAATTATTTCAGGTTGAAGAGTTTAGCCCTAGAGCAGTTTACACCAGTGGAAAAGCTAGCAGTGCTGCAGGTCTTACAGCTGCTGTAGTGAGGGTAAGTGTTAGAAACCTGTCTCAGGTCTTACAGCTGCTGTAGTGAGGGTAAGTGTTAGAAACCTGTCTCAGGTCTTACAGCTGCTGTAGTGAGGGTAAGTGTTAGAAACCTGTCTTACATGTTTTTTATAAACTGAACTTTCATTATTTGTGTGATTTTCTGAAAAATATATAGTCTGTATGCTTTAAAGGTAATTTATAAAGTTCTATGTTTTTAAAGATCTGAAGGAATATACTTTAAAATATTACTAATGAGATGTAAAGTAAATTAGATTATTTATTACAATTAAATAAATTTATTACTAGTTATTACAGTTAAATAATTTTATTCGTAGTTATGTTAAAATTGTGTGAAATTCTATTAGGATGAGGAATCATATGAGTTTGTGATTGAAGCAGGAGCACTTATGTTGGCCGACAATGGAGTATGCTGCATTGATGAATTTGACAAAATGGATCCTCATGATCAGGTTGCTATTCATGAAGCCATGGAACAACAAACCATTTCTATTACAAAAGCAGGAGTTCGGGTAAGTTTTGTTTTTACTTCTTTAAAACACTCTCACAAATGCAATGCAGCTCATTTTTATTTTGTCTTATATTTTCTCTTTCTCTATAAATATTTATATGTAAATTACTTACAATTAAAAGCTGTTATTGATCCAAATAAAAAATACATATTTAAAAAAACAAACATTTTATTTACATTCAGAACAATTTAAACACAAGATATCTTAAGCATTTCTCTAGTGTAAAAATCACCCATCATATGAGTAACTTAGTGATCACTTAGCTTTGGTATCCGCTGGGGAAGAAAGCTGGTAAATTCTTACAGACTAGGGAACAATATATATTTTTGAATATCTTTCTGTCCTAACTTAAAGGGAAAGAATTCACCCTGATCGTGCTGATCTTAGGTATATGTGAAGAGGGTTGTGATGTATCAAACAAATTTTTGTAGGTTTTGTAACAATTGTATATTTTAACCTTCTTATTGATGGTGACGCTTGTGACTCAATAAAGTTACTCATACAATGTTAGCTAATACTGTGAGTTCAATTTGATCGATGGCTTGCTGCTACTCATTGAATAATTCATTCCACTCCTCAAAAAACTGTCTCTTTCTCTCTTAAGAAGAAACAATGTCCAAATGAATAATATACACAGCACTTTATTAAATATACTATACAGAAAACATGTGTGGCACCACAGACTTAAGGCTTTTTTTTTAACAAACATAATTACACAAACATTACATTAGAAACACTTTTTAGATTTAAAATACAAAACATAAGTTCAGAAAATTTAATTTAGTGCACACCCTTAAATTGGAATTTCAGTATAAAAAAAAACACAACTTTATTACATATACAAAATAAGTCAAATAATTCCTTGATATTAGGATAACTTTTAACAATCATAGTTGCAATGCAAAGAATATATATGCACACATGTTCAATAATGCTCTATCTAATATTAATTTAATAATCCATTAGAAAATTCAACATGTCCTCACATTCAAGATATTTTGTTTTCTCCTTTGCTACATAAAAAACATGAATTCTTCTTACGCTATAAAAACTAGTCCCCCTTTTTCTCGGGTTTTACTTCATCCTCATCAAATCACTACACCATTGTGCAGCGAGAATAAATCTTTGTATAGTGTGAAAAATCATAGTTAACTTGGTCTGTTACAGGTTTACAACAGCATTTTTCTTCAAATAGCTCTTCAATTGAAGGATGTTTAGTTTGTGTGATATTACTAGCTTTCTTAATTAAAAAAAATTTAAATAAATATCATTAACAAAGAATAAAATATATTTACTTTTTGACAAGCTGGTAACTTTCTTTTTTTTTTGTCTAGGCAACTTTAAATGCAAGAACTTCTATTTTGGCTGCAGCAAATCCTGCAGGTGGCAGATATGACAGAGCTAAATCACTTAAACATAACATTAATATGAGTGCTCCAATCATGTCAAGATTTGATCTCTTCTTTATTTTAGTTGATGAGTGTAATGAGGTAAGCAATAATTCACCTTAAATAGCTGCAGGGGGGAACTAATTTTTCATTAAGTTAAAACTTTGATATTAGTAAGACTAATGTTCTGAGGAAATTTTCAGTAAGAAAATTATTAGGTAAATTAGATTTTGACAATTTTTAAATGTTTTTATATAGAAAAACTAGGTCTCGGTAGACCTGGCAGTTTATGAATGAAATATACTTAGTGTATCGATGAATTTTCAGCTCAACAGTAAATCTATAAATATATATAAATACTGTATGCTGTTATGGTAAAAACTTGTTTGGCAAGTAATACACAATAAATTGGTTAGAGAGTTTGATCTTAAATGTTGATTTGTAATGTTTAATTTTTTTAATGCCAATGTGATATTTTTTTACCATTAACAAAAAGGTCACAGATTATGCTATTGCAAGGCGTATCGTTGATCTCCATAGTCGAGCAGAAGAATCTATTAGCAGAGTTTATTCTGTAGAGGATATGTGTCGCTATATTATGTTTGCTCGACAGTTTAAACCCAAGGTAATAGAAAGTTTTGGAATTTTATCTGCATTTATTGTCAAAGATTTAAGTAATGACAGCAATTTCTGGTTTTGGTAGGGTACTTTGCTGAATCCATGTACTGGCTTATGTGAAACTGTTTAAATTTTACAAATAAATTTGTTCAGCCTTTAAATCAAGACTCCTTTGAATAAATGGTTATAAAAACTGTTTTAATTAAAACTATTCTTTTTATGTAAAAGATCAGTGCAGAATCTCGAGATTACATGGTAGAAGAATACAAGCGCCTTCGTCAGCGTGACAGTTCTGGAGCTGGGTCATCATCTTGGAGAATTACCGTTCGTCAGTTAGAAAGTATGATTCGGCTATCTGAAGCAATGGCCAGGATGCACTGTCAAGATGAGGTAAATGATTAATCCTAGTTCCCGTCTGTCAATTATTTTAGAAATGATTAATGGATAGAATAATATTATCAATTTTGCTATTGTCATGAATACTGTGAATTTTATTTTTATTCTAGGTCCAACCAAGGCATGTTAAAGAAGCTTTCCGTCTCTTGAATAAGTCTATCATACGTGTAGAACAGCCAGATATTCACTTAGAGGATGATTTACCTGTGGTGCAAGAAGAAATGGAGGTTGATGAGAACACAGGTACAGAAACTAACCATTTTATTACTATATTTTTACTTAACTCATTTTTTAACAACACAATTAAAAAGCTTAGATATGCTATTAGTGAAGAAACTCGGATATTTTCTATGATCATGAAAAAAGATTTAGAAAGCTTGTCAGAAGAATGCTTACTTGAAGGTTTGAGTAATTTAATTCAGCTATATTATTATTTGTACCGAAATTTTTTTGTTATTCTCTCTAGCACCATCCAAACCTACAGAACAGTCCCAAGATGCAGATTCTCCACTAATTATGCCAGATGCTGCTGAGGCTCCTGCACCCGTTGTTGCTCCTGTAAAACCTCCACTCCGGCTGGCTTATGAGGATTACAAACATATGGCAAATTTATTGGTTTTGCACATGAGAAAGGAGGAAGAAGCAGCAGGTAAAGAAAAATTAACTTGTTTTACAATGTGCCTCATTACTCTGTTGTACTGTTCACCAAATTTTAAAAAATGTGGGTGGGTCATTAGACTATTAATAGTTCAAGGGCGTGAAAAAAAATGTGCCATTGCGAGCCATGGGGGAGGGAGCAATAATTGGTATTCATATTAATTGTATGCATGTCCATTAATTGTATGCATGTTTTGTCAAAGTTAAAGCCCCACCTTCATTGCTGGATATTATATGATATACAGGATTTATATTAAAAATTTTGTTGTTAGGGTTTTTTTTTTAGTTCCAAGTTTTTACTTTATGAAATTAGTAAATTGGTAAATTTTTTGGATTGAAAAAAGTAATTGAAATGCAAAGTTTACATTTTGTGTGGTGTGTTAAAGATAGGAATTTTGAATTAATTTCATATAAGATAATTTTTAATTTTGGTTAATTGAGTTCAAGCTGAAGCGAGTTTGATATGTGTTATTTGAGAAATTAACATACATTTTTTATTTGATTTGCAATTTTTGACAAGGCAGTTGAATAAAAAAAGGTCTGATTATCGGGGTTCCCCAATACATTTTTGTACAACTTAATAACAATAATGCATAGATTATCAGTTTTGGTTAAAAGGAATGTTAACTCCTTTCTACAATATCTTAACTCTCTCGTTCAGATAAAATATTTAAGATAAGGATCTTATTATATTAAATGTATGGCTAATAATAATTGATTCGATTTGCGTAAAATAAAAAATTTACTATTAGTGTTGTTAAGAATCCAAGTTAGATTTAGGGATTTTATATAGACAGTGGCTAATTTTTTGCTGTAAAAGGGAATTTTTACATTGTAACTATTGACCATTTTTAAGTTTATTCTTATATACTGGTTTGTGCTGCCACTAACACATATTATTAGACTAAATCCAGACTTGGGACAGGTACTGGAATATATGTATAGTGTGTTCTTACTTAATAAATATTACATTTCTTGCATCTGTTTGTATATAGCTTTAGAAATAATGTTTTTAAAAAAAAAAATGTAAAGTGAGTATAAAATACTGTAGCTCTGGAATGCATCTAAACCTTGATGACCTCAATTTTTGTTTTGTCATAGAGCTGTCTCTCATCATGTTTTTGAAATGGCAATATATATTGTAGTGATTTTTAATTTTTGCTTTGACAGAATTTTTTGTTTGATCTGTTATTGTGAACTTTTACACACCTTTCCATTCACTTCCAATAATTAACCTATAGTTGTTTTTTTTTTTTGTGATTTTTAATTTTTGCTTTGACAGAATTTTTTGTTTGATCTGTTATTGTGAACTTTTACACACCTTTCCATTCACTTCCAATAATTAACCTATAGTTGTTTTTTTTTTTTTTTTGATTTTTAATTTTTGTTTTGACAGTATTTTTTGTTTGATCTGTTATTGTGAACTTTTACACACCTTTCCATTCACTTCCAATAATTAACCTATAGTTGTTTTTTTTTTTTTCCAAATTAGGTGAAGATGAAACAGGATTGAGAAAAAGTGATGTTATTGGGTGGTACCTTACAGAAATTCAAGATGATATACAATCAGAGGAAGAGCTCAATGAGAAGAAACAAATTGTAGAGAAAGTCATTGACAGACTTGTACATCATGTAATTACCGTTTGCTGTGTTTTTGTATTATAAGATTCAAAATAAGTAGCTTTCATTTTAGTTTGCTTGATCCCTAGCTTAGTCTTCCATTAATTTGTGCTCTAAAAGATAAATAAAAGTTATTTAATGACACATTTTGAGAAGTAGGTTGTTTTACTAATTTTTTTTTTCTTTCTCCAATTCACAGGACCATGTGCTGATCCAACTCACACAAACAGGTCTTAAACCTCGGGCAGGTCAAGATAGTGAACTTGTCAAGGAAGATGACCCCATACTTGTTGTCCATCCAAATTATTATATGGATGCTTAAATGCCCATAAATATTGTAACATCAAATCTGATTTATGTATTTGTAAATATTAGATCTATTACTGCTTCATCAGTAGTTGGTTTTAAACCCAGATGCCCATGAATTTTAACCTTTGAATTCTTAGCCAGATGGAAGTTATTTGTATTTGTAGCAGATATTGGCTCAATATTTTAAAAAAATGAATTTTGAGACATAATTTCATTAAATAAAGTTTAAATTGCATCCAAACCATTCTTGCTTTAGTTTATGTTAATGCTTAATTACATTATTCATCAATGGTGTCTCAAACTCTGCCACCCATAATCATAGATAATTGATAAAATATTTGGCAGTAAACTCCCTTCCTGTGAAAGCAGGTGTTTCATTCTGGATTTTCAACATGTAAACAGTGCTTTGGGATGGTCATAATTGGGAAAGGGAGCGATTGGCCAAAACTTTCAATGGTACCCTGTATATTGACTACCGGTGTAAAATAAGTAGAGAAATTTTTGATATATTATTCATAACCTAAGAATTATTTTAGTATAAAAAGTAAATGAAATGAATTTGCAACGCTTGCCACCTATCTGCAAATTAACAATATACCTGTACCAAAAATATTTGAGCAAGATAATTTAGTTTCTCATTTTTTTTAATAGCAGATACTGATATTAAGTAAGTAATAAGTTTCTATACTGATATTAAGTAAGTAATAAGTTTCTAATGTAAGCTGAACAAAATGTTAATCATTACTGTACATTCACATTTTGAAAAACCTTGTAGTTAGAAATAAGTGGCACATAAAGCTGTTTTGGTGATTATGATCTTGGGGAGTAAAGGAGCACTTTTGAGAAAGGTCATCTCTGTATTTTTATCCTATTTGACTAATACTGGTACAGGTATTTAAATTTACTTAAAAGATTAAAATTGGTTGACATCAAAATCTTTTCATTATGGGATTTCACATGTTTTGAATCATATACATTGACCAATAGGATTAAAGAAATATGACATGTAGCTTGTGAAGCAATCGTGGCAGTAGATTATAAAGGGTCATCCATTCATAAAGTATGTCGCACTCGGAGGGGGCTAAGAAATGTGACAAGGGGGTTAGGGTTGATGATCATATGTGAAATCACACATTTACATATTTTCTAATTAATAAAAAATTAAATTTTAAAAAATCACTCTTAAAGTCATCATCACTAATTAAATATACATGTGAGGTTGATTTTTTGCGTTTGAGAAATACTTTTAGATGTCTTGTGTTAAATTGTTCTGAAAATGTATATATATTAATTGTACCCCTAACAAAACATTTCCATTTATTTGGACCAATCCAATAAAAGAATCTTAAGGTATCTTAAAAGCTGAAACTGACAGTGATGTTAAACTTAATATTGTGCTGGATGTATTCTGAAAGATGCCACTCAGTAGTAGTAGTGTCTAATTTAACTAGATTGTAAAGTGTTTTATTTGATATTAATTTTAATTAGGTATTTATTTTAAAACAACCCTTCTAGAGTGTATCAGTGACTGGTGAAACTCAACCTGAATTAGAATAAGAGAATTTATCAGATTTTTGCCTCAGTATTCTATAAAATTTGACTCATTTAAAAAAGCTGCTTTTGAAATATACTGATTATGATGCAAAACAAACATTTGCCCATTCAGCAACGGTAATTTGTTTCTCTTTCAAATTATTTAAAGGGATACCTTATTAGCATAGTTATGGTGGTATTACCAGTTAGTTTAAAATTTTATAACAATTTTAATTTTAGAGATTTATTTATTTTATTAAAAGTTTTATTTAAAAAACATATATTTATTATTTAATAATGGACAAGAGACAAGGTCAACAGATCGCATGATAGAGTACAAAGCATTTTGGGGCTTTTTTAACAAAGTTTTCGCATGATGCGTGGATCATGTTATTATGCAATAATGTACATAATAGATATTTTACATGTCATTTTTGGGATTTGAGGCATTAGCAACATTGACAATTGGATAAAATTTTTGTTGCAACTGTGAGGAGTGTTAAGATGAAACTGCTAAAAATGAATAGATCAGTTTTGACCCTGGTCAGAATGGTTAAAAAGAATTCTTGCTATTGTAATTAGTAGTGAAAACAACACAAAATTTGAAGCATTCAGAAAATATAGTTTGCAAACTGATGAGTCCCTCAAGTTTTAAATTGTGCTATTTAGATATTACAGCAAGTCCATTTCTAATACTAATTGTAGGTAAACAAACTGGGCACCTGACAAAACAATGGGACTTGAGAAAAAAAATAATTAAGAACTAACATTTTTTCCACAAAAATTTATTTGAATGTAGCAGTATTGTTTCTTTCAATACTATGGCCAAGTAAGCAGATCATTATAATAATGTACTTCATCATCACATGCTCAAAGCATCAACCATCTTATATTATTCGGCTCAAGGGTAGGATGGTTAAAATTATTTTTAAAGGAATATAATTTAAATTAAAGATATATAGGACAAGAACATAACTTGAGTCTGGACCCCTTTTATGGAGGCATGGTAAGGAGCATCCCCATTACTTTTTTGTATGGGTGAAAGGCATATTTTTTAAAGTTAATTTCAAATAACACTTAGTGCAAAGTTGCACTGTTAAAAAAACGTTAAAATATGTTGGTGGGTGTTAGTTAAAGTCCACCTCATATTATTCTCAAGAATTCAAGTTTTATTGCATCAACAGGCATTGAAAATTAACTTCCAGAGGTATTTACTTCCGGATTAAAAACACAAACACAGGGAATCTACCCATGGCTTGGGAGCCTATGATATACTTATAAATATATTGAACTTTCTCTGACCATCTTCCTAACCATTTCATAGCTAGTTTAACCATAAAGACAAATCAATATTGATTAAATTTACTGTAAAGACAAATTAATATTGATTACATTTAAGACTTGAAAATGTTAAACACAGGAACTAACGCAGTCCAAGCAGGAGGTTATAAAGTTTATTTCTTCCCCAAAATCAATATATACCAATAATAAAATAGATGAAAGTAATTTAACGTCTGTCTGTTTTTCCAGCCTTTCGTTTCCCTGAGAATAAATGTTTGGGCTTCATGTTGAGAATGACACGATCTCCTTCTCCCTTCTTAGCTTGGTGGTTTCGTGGCTTTTGAGCCTTCTTGGCCATTTTCTTAACCTTTCTAATCATCTGTAAAAATAAGAATTAAATAAGCATTTAAAAAAATAAATTACTATGTAAAAAAATTTAAGTGTGCTTAGAAGTTCAAATAAACTACTTTGCTACTATTATTGGTACTGCCTCAGACTTTGAGCAACCAGTACATCGATAAAAATATATTTGCACTAAGATCAAAATACCATACTTATTAGTTAAACTAAACAGTGACAACTACTATGAAAACTTACAGCATTATCTCTCAATCCCGATCTATCCCTAGGTGGACGAGATTTACTTCTAGTGACAGCACCTTCTGACTGATCACGTGCCCGCTTCAATGGAGGACGACTAGATGACCTGCTCTTAGGACGACTAGATGACCTGCTCTTAGCTCTAACATAGTGGCTCTATAGAAATGAAACAAATTTATGAAAAATACTATACATATATGCTCTATCCTCATTATTCATCAAGTATCACGAGAACATTAAGTTTCACCTCAAATTATTAAATTTATATGTGTTAAAATTTGTTGACATACATCTGCATTTTTAGGAATTTCCACTCCCATTTCATCAAGATCTTTCTCCAGCTGGGCAACACTCCTGCTCCTTTTGACTGGTCGGGGCATTCTAGACTTTTCAACTCTTCTTTTCTCTCCTGACTCAATAGTGAGGATAGTACGCTTTTCGCGAATCCTTAAAGGAAAAAAATAATCATATAATTTAAAGTTAAATGTAAATTAAGTTGAAAATCTACCACATGCAACTGACCTTATTGGGAAGAACTTAAGATATTAAGGTCCAACAATGATTGAATTAAAAGTGATACATTTGATGCACCGATTATGATACACTGCATAAAAATGAGCCTGCTAACACTATGTGTACTAATATTTAAATTGTGAATAACCTGGTAGAGTAAAATTCATTCAGATAGCCCCTACATAAAGCAGGCTTTGTTGTTTACTCACTATAATTGAAGATTTCATGACCTCATTACATTATCCAATTTTTATTATATAATGTAGATTCTAAACCAAGCCCTTCACAATATCCATCAACGGAAGTTACAAAACATGGGAAAATGCTGTCCAAAAACTCTTCAAACAAAGCAAAAATCTAATCTAATTGGTGTGGATCTTGCCAAAGGTTGCTTTTCTGTACAGATGAAGTTTTAAGGACCAGCTGTTGATTCCATAATTTATCATTTAGAAAACCCTGCATTCCCATGAGTCAAAAAGGATGAATGTACGACTTACTTTCTTGCAACTTTTCTCATCTCTCGTGTCTCTTCATCTTCTTCACTTTCATCCATGCTGTAGTAATGGGCATTATCTCTGGCCTCCTCTTCTTCCTCCAAAGCTTTCAGACTCTGTGAAACCAAGAAATCAGCTTTATTTGTAAATTACAAGAAAAGTACAGGTACTGTTTTCCTTAACTAAAACTATAATTGCATAAGGAAGAGATCATTTTTGTATAATAAGCATATGACAATCTCAAATCAAAGTCAATATACACACAAGATTCCAATTAAGCACACGAACGTGGTTAAAGAAATAATTTGTTACCTCCATAATTCCAGGATCAATGTAATCTGCCACATTTTTGCCATGCCAAATCTCTGGTATGACATCATACTTTTCATCCTCATTTTGCAACATCCATGTTTCTGGTAAATTTGAACATAACCCAAATACAGTCTTTAGTAATATGTTTAGTAGTATCATCCTCAAATTCAGGAAGAAAAAGAGCCTACCTTGATCTCTTAAAAATTCTCTTTATTTATCACAATAATAATTATTATACATTGTATTGGATGAAGAATTTGAAATTATAGCATGGTGAAGTCCTAGAAAAATTAAAACACATACTTTAGTTAAAAAAAATTAAAATCTATCAGTATGGAAATTAAAAAAGAAAACAAATGAAAGCCAGAAAAGCCATTTCATCACTAATATTGTTCAAGTACACAAGAGCTTCTGTCAAATATCACACCCGACACATATATGTATGCTGATTCTAATTTTTATTTGTAAAGTTTAAACAAAGACTGCTGCAGTTCATAGCAATTATTGTTAATGTTCAGGAAGTATAGTTATTAGTGAAATATTACGTTACAGGTACATACAGATTTGTTATAGATTTATGACGTCAAAAAAACCAGCTTACTTCTTAAATCCAGAATATAGTCATCTCCCATTTCTTGTTCAATATCTCTTTCCTAACGTAAATAAACATATGGGAATAAAATATGTAAATATTTGTAAATCATAAAAAAAATATGAGAACAGACTACTAATCGTAATATTTTTTGCATACTCCAAACTAGCAGTCTTTATAAATTTTCACATATCTTAAGGAACTAACTTCACATCATATTAAAATGATAATTAACAACTACAAATACTTACCAATTTACGACTTTCTCCATCTATAACCATTGCCTGTTTCTTTTTAATTACTACCGGTGGCCGTTCCTGTTGAGAAATAGAATTTACTATATAACATTTAATCATAAAAAGAATATAGTTGCCAAGTGAAATTGTCGGGGAATTAAAATTTTTTTAAGGTCTTAATCTTAAATTGATAAATACCTTGTCATCCCTTTTCTTAGGCACAGCCACATGCAGTCTGTTTGCTACATTTGCCACCTTGTTTGTCTTCATTTTCTGCTCAACACGGAAAGTTAGCAAACGTTCACATGCCTAAAATAAAAGATGCAAGCATAAGTTCCTTGGCATATGAAATGAAATATATCAGTTTTGGATTAAAATTTTAAGTTAACCTGTAAAATAGTAGTTAAGATCCTTACTTCAATTTTCACAGCCATTACACCTTCTTCTGTCAGTGTACTCATCTCCAACACAGGTTCTCCTTCTGCTTGAAACTCAGCAATAACTTTCTGACAATGGAGAAAATCAGAAATCATATTTTATATAAGAGAAAATAGTACAAAGACAATTTTAACAGAGTTTAATTTACAAGAAAAATTAATACAAGTCAAAATGAGCAAAAGAGTGCTAAGCTTAGTTGGGAGAATTTCCATTTACTTCATTGTTCATTGCTAGCATTACATGTACTTGTCTTTATAGAAAATATTCAAAGAAATTACTCCCACGTTTGACACTTCTTGAGAAATGACTATATGAAGGAATTCACACCATGTTAATCGGTGTGGATCTGGCTAATTCACACCATGTTAATCGGTGTGGATCTGGCTTAAACTTACTTTCTTCTCTTCAGGTAGTTCTTCAGGCTTGATAACATCAATTTTGTTGATGACTATAATGATTGGCCTATTACTGAAGGAAGGCTTGATATTTCTGTACAAGGCAAGCTAAAATGAAACCAATTTATATGCAGAAAATAAGAATTGACACGATAGTAGTATGTCAGTGCTGTTTAGTTTTTGTACATGAAAACAATTGAAGTTTAATAGATATCTGTGAGCATTAGATTGAAATAATATAATTATAACAATCTAAAATAAAAGTATTTCATATGATATTTATCACTGAAATGTTGTGGTTTTAATTATTATATATCTTATGTCATATGATGAAACAGGTTGAAATAGATGTTCTGTAACAAAATAAGCAACCATGTATCTATGAGATGAGTACACATGTAACAAAACTTAGAAAAATAATGGGCACATTTGTTTGTCTTTTTTAAAAATGATTTTTTAACCCATTCAATCCTGGACGCTAAGCATTTTATCAATTGAAACAGTTACTGCCCATAGGTTTGGGGGAAAAAAAAAAGTAAAACAAATCAATTTTGTCATGTATTTATCAGCAATAAATTTATTCAAAATGTCAAACTATAGCACAGCATTGGACTAATCACAGACCTGTTTACCCTCAAACACTTAAAATCGTACAATGACATCACAAAATCATTCGATACATTATCTTAATAGTAAAAAAATAAACATACAGTATATATAATGTATACACCTCAAAATCATACAATGTACGCCAAAATCGTAAGAGTAAACAGGTCTGTCATCATGAGCAGAACAATAAAAAATAAATCTGCTATTAAAATAATGAATACTCCTCGTCCCATGTATAAAATTTAAAAAATGGTGCTTTCTATACAGAACGGATTTTGCCTTTACAGGGTTGAATGGATTAAGTCACAACCAACTAAAAATTTGATTAAATGAATAAGTCAAACTTCATGAAAATCTGATACAATTAATTATAATAATTTCAATAAAACCTGTTATTTTATTAAATATCCTCTACATTGAAAAAAAAGATACCTGTTCTTCCAGTGTGTGTCCGCATTGTTCTGAGATATCAACAATATGTAAGACAACAGCACGTATATGAATGAGGGCAGCTACAGCTTGCATTTCAATAGAATTTCTTTCTTCAATTGGATGATCAAGTATGCCAGGTGTATCAATGACCTACAAATGTATTTTATTTTAAAGACCATCGATTTCAATTTTCACAAAAAATGCTGATTACATGAGAAACAGAAAAAGAGGACTAATGCTTATATTATTAATGAATGTTGTGCTTGTGTTAAATGAAGCATTTAGAACATAAAACCTAATTTTATTCTAACCACAAAAAAAAAAAAAAAAATAAAAAAAAAACCCACCAGCCCATGAAAAAAAAAAAATAAAAAAAAAAAAAAAATAAAATAAAAAAAAAAAAAAAAAAAAAAAAAAAAATTACAAGAGAAACAGAAAAAGAGGACTAATGCTTAAATTATTAATGAATGTTGTTCTTGTGTTAAATGAAGCATTTAGAACATAAAACCTAATTTTATTCTAACCAAAAAAAAAAAAAAAAAAATGATAAAGAAACCCATCAGTCCATGTAATGAAGCTATTTATGTGACAGTATAAAGTAAATTAAAACTTATACATACCTGCCAACGCAAGTATTTGTAATCTGTGTGACCAACATATAAAGACTTGGTAGTAAATGCATATGGTTGAACTTCAACATCAGCCCGTGAGATCTGTTACATAAAAAAATTAACAAGTATTAAAATGTACTTTGTAAAAGAAAATAAAAATCATATAAACTGCTGTATTTAATGGTGTATAGTTAGGTTGCATCCTTAGATTGGGGTTGTCATAGTGGGTATTTGCGGTATACGACTCAAAGAATTTATACATGCAAAAATTACTTCACTGCAATTACAAATGAGATACCTGTAAATTCTTAACTCAAGATAAGTCTAAATCGAAAATAATTTATAAAGACAATATACCTTGTTAATAAAAGAAGACTTTCCCACATTAGGAAATCCTGTTATCAGCAACGTTCTGGTATTAGGATCAATAGTTGGGAGACGATTAATGTGTTGTCTGATTTCTTCCAGGTACAACAGATTTTTGGCTTGCCCTTTTAATATTGTTACCATTCTGAAAATGAAGCAGATTAAAAAAAAAAAACCAAGATAAATTATGATTAACTTAAAAACGGCACATTGATTATTTTTCAACCCTATGTATAACGAAGCCCACACGCATTACTTTATAGCCTGCATAGTTGTGTTCATATGGTAGGTTAAGTTACCGTTATAATCATTGGAGAGGGAAGTACTGAAAAAAAGGCAAAAAAAGAGGTAATTTCACCGTCCAAGGGCAGCTCTTTTGAGGCACTTGCATCTGTAGAGTGAGTCTCCATATTTCAACAGCTTCACATGGTCTTTTGCACAACTGTGGAATGCACAAAATACATAGAATTTGGTGATAAATTGTGACAAGAAACTGAAGTGAAACCATAAAAATTTCATTCTATTACAACACGAAATATTAAATTGCTGACTAATTATTAACATTTTTAAGGAGAATACTGATGTAATTAATACTTTCTTGTACATACCATTTTCTGTAACGCAAAGTGAGTAAATTTGATATAAAACTTACTCATCAATGAGCTGCCGGGCTTTGTTAATGCCACCAAGAGCCAACTTGTAATGATCAGTGTTGTAAAGCACATTCATCAATGTGGCATAGAAAGGGTGGAGATTCTAAAATTTAAAAGATTTAAACTTTATCAAAATTAAAAAATTTAAACCTTTACCCAAAAATAATTGAAATTGTTGGGTTCGGAAAAAGAAACCCCCCCCCCCCCCCAAATCATTAAATGTTGCCAACTTCGTATAAATATTTTGAAATTACATAGCGTAAGAGACATGCAAATGTATGAAAATAATATTTACAATTAATATTTTTGCTGTAAAATAAGTATTTTCTAGCCTAAAAAGTAGAAAAATAAATAAATGTAATTAAAACTAATTAAAATAATATTAAATTGAAATAAGCAACATACCATAAAGCACCCACAAACAATCTAATATTTTTTTTATTATTCTCTTACATATATTTAAGAGAATATCCTAATGTAATCTAAGGTGTTTTAGAGCAAAGGAAGTGTTTTTAAGAATGTTGAAAAGATAAATAAAATTGTGGGGAAGGTTAAAAAAAGAGTGAAGGGTTTAGTAAGCATAAAAATATATATAAAAAATTCTTATTCACGGTTTTTCCACCGGGTACACGCCCGCTGCAATATTCGAGACATTACTATAATATATATATATATATATATATCTCGGATATCAAGTATTATAACTAACTATATGTAGCATATTTTTTAAAAAAATCCAAATACTTACTGAAATTATTGGAAATTCTGAGATAATCAGAGTTAGTTTATCATGAAAAGTTTGCTGGGTATATTTGACTTTTCGCATATAAAAATCTCTTATTCTGGATATCTTGTAATGCTTGTGTATAACTGTAGGTGTTTTTCTTTGAGTTCTGGATAAAACAATGTCCACAAAATCCTGAAAGTAAATTCAAAATTTTATAAATAATCATACTAATAATAAAGGCCTAGACTAATCTAATTTTCTAATCAAAACTATTAACTTTATTAGTTCTGTATTGATTGTATTGAACAGTATTGTTAGTGTTATTAAAATTATTATTTCTATAAGTTATTTTACTTGTATTGAATAAGCTAAAATGCTGCACACTAATCATCGAACATTGTTATCCTGTTATACTTAATAATGGTAAATCTTTATTAAGTAAAATTAAAATTATTTAGCTTGAAAGTAAAGGCAAAGAAGAGCAAATTTTGTTCTTTCAGTTGGCGCTATAACGCTATGTCCTGGGTAAGCCTCTGCAATGGCCATTGTTTTTTTTTTCTCTGTAGGCCTATATATACCCTGTGATTATTTTAATAAATTGTGTCATCCTTAAACTTAAAAGAAATGTTTAATTATAGGGACAAGGCATTTGTAGTATTCATTTTTATGATTTGCCAAATAATTTGGCATAGGAATGTGGAACTTAATAAAAGTAGGCTAAATATTTAGCCCCTAGGCGCCCTAGCCATAAGTTAGGTACTTGGATAACATTTTCAAATTGAATGAATTAAGTTTAAGAAATGAACACAATTGTAAGATAGCCCTTGTTAAATGAAGTAATAATATGTTTTCATTTAGCACTTTTGGTTAAAAAGTTATTTTTTTAACATAGAGATTCGTGACCACTTTCCAAAAATTTTTACGAAAAGGCTCATAACTTTATAGCGGAGTGTACATCAGATCAATTTAAAATGGGACAACGAATAGTTTTCAAAATATTGATAAATTAGACTTAGCAGCTTTCTCACATTTTTTTAAATTTACGACATACTGATAGTAGGTACTTTGACACACATTTTAAATATTGTCCAATAGCCACAAATGATACACCATTTTAAAGGGCTCGCTATAAGCTTTGCAAAAACACCAATTTCATCTTTCTATCTTTTATGGAAAAAAAGTTATGATTTTTTTTGTGAATTTTTTAACCCCTTTATTTATCTTTGTATTTAACGAAAAAACTTGTGACCAACTTTCCACATTTCTGCTTTATTTTGTCCACAACTTTTTTATTTTAAAAGATAATGCTACCAAACTTTCAGGAGACATTCTCAATGCAATATACAACACAATAAACAACAAAACTTTTATATAACATCAAGACTTTTATTTTTTTATATATTTAATCGAGGGTATGTTCAGAAAAAAGTGAACAGAAAAATTGGGAAAATCATTATTTATACAGGAAAAATTGAAAAAAATAACATGTTTATTGAATTTTAACTAATTTTATTATGCTTGTGTTAAATTTTAAATCATTATATTTATAAAAAGGTAAGTAGTCTTTTTTTATATATAAAATTGAACGCATGTAATTATATATAACAAATACTAATATCACCCATAAAACTAATTACAAGCATACCCTTATCGGAGTATGTCATTAAATATTTAAAGGTAATGGGGATCTTCTGCCTGCCATTTTCCGGGTAGAATGCCCTACAGTGACTTCTTTGTCTTGTTGATGAAACCCACACATTTTTCCTTCATAAACTTTGTCGCCGCCATCTGCATCCAAACATTCCGCCTTATTGGATATGGGCCATGGAAGGAATTCCAAAGTTTGCAACAGAAATGTAAAATTTTCTCTTCCACCCAAAAGAAGCCTAACATTAAATACTAATCATAATTCTGAATCTATACAATTTTTAGTTTCTTTTTAATATTATTCAAGTGATGTTTTTATTAAATTTATTTCCTTTTTTTGTTTTGTTTATTTAATTAGAAATATATTATTGTTGATATAAATGTTAACATTTTCTTATGCCTCTGTCCTAGTTTGATATAATTACTATGATGATGTAGAGTCTTATTTATTTATTTATTTTAATAAACTTGTTATAGACTAATTCATAGGTTATCTAATTTTAATTTTAAACAAGTCACAGTGACGCAATTTTCACAAAAAATATATCATATGCACGAAAAAAAAATAATTTTATAATGCATTACCATATTTTATTGGAATTACAATTGATAGTAGTATATTTTTAATAGTGGTAGCAACTGCTTTTATTTTGTTATTATCATTAATTATAATTTATAAATGCCACTAATAACTAGCATTATATATTATAGTAGTAGTATTACTACTACTACATATAATGATTATATAAATCAAGGGACAAAACAAGTCCGAAATTCACCGGACTACACGAACTACAATTATTTAAAATTATTTAATTTATTAAGTTGTACTACTTTCAATAATATTGTAAGTCATCCCCCCTCACAAAAAAAAGTGGGTTGTCGGAAATGGTTGTTATTACCAATTTAACTTAAAGATATTTTCATTTATTCATTATAGTTCATCTTTTTGATAATCCGTGGTAGACTAATTAGTTAATTACAGTGAAAACTGTTTTACAATATTATTGAAAGTAGTACAACAGTAAAACTCGGGTGACTACTAACAATTTTATTTTATTACACCTTCCAGTTGAATTGGCATAACTTTTGTGCGTTTGGGCTAATTTTAATGAAGTAAAGTTATTAAACTGTGTGAATGAATGAAGCAGTATTGAGCTAAACCACTATGTGTTTGAGTTTTACATTAAAAAGTAATAAGCAATTAACGTGCATACCGATGAAAAATTAAATGCGTTACCGGTCACAAGATTCTAAATGCTGCAAATATGGTATTCACATGTTTGGAAAAATATGTGCTCTACGTCACCGATAATTTAAATACTATTATTAGGAAACAGTGACGTACAACGCAAAAAAACGACACCCTCGCTATGCCGTATAGCTATATTGCAGCTCAAGTTTTTCCGTGATTTTTCGACTGCGCAGAAGGGATGCGCGTGCGTCTTTTAAAATACCTACTGATAGTATTACACAAAATGGATGTCGTTAAAGCCTGTTCATTAACATAACTAGAACAGTACTTTGTTCGTTGATCCGACGATTCTAGCGTGAAAAAATAATTTTTTAGTGAACCCTATCATCCAGCACACACAAAAAAGCGTCCCAAAACCCTATGGGCTGTGATAGTGTCAAAATAGCCTCATATCCAAGTACCTACATAATTGTTAATTTTGAATACATTTCATAAATTTTAAACTTAATTAACAATTCCAACTTTGCTATTTTTGTCTTAATTAGGCATTAGGGTGGGACAAATCTTGTCAAAACTCCTATCCATGGGGGCCGTAAACTAAACATTTGCCATGGCCATTCATTAACAAACTTTCAAGTCAGCTGCTGTTTAGTTCAGTTTGCTCTCTAATCTCTTTGATTGGATAATTGGATGTAGGTCTACCCTCAAGATAGTCTACTATGCCAACCTCTTTTAAGCCCTTTAATTTTAATAAAAAAATAAAACGGGTGGTAGCAGCTAGGTTAGACCAGGAGTTGGCTGGCTAGGTCAACTGATCATGCTGATACTGATGCCAGTTCAGTCTGATTTGAGAGTCATTGAGAGTTTTGTTTGTTTTATCAGCTGTACAGTTTAGTACTGATGAGACCAGCAACGTGATCAGGTACATTAGCTTTGATCCACATTCTATGATTTAGCTGTTTATACTACTATGCGTTCTAGCATTACATAAACTAATAAGATGTAACTGAAATTGTTCTTGCCTTGTAACTAGGAACCACCGTAATATGCTTTACTACGTGCGCCATGTTGATGCTTCACGTGGGGAAAAGGACCGGATGCCAGTGTCCAACGTTAATGCTTACATTCGCATTATATTACTTCATCTTTTAGCGCACCACCTCGACATGAAGACAACGCAAGATCACGGGGATCAATGCGTGCAGGTACAGCAACTACTCATCAATGAGTCACTGTTAATAAGGTGGCGTCTTTCACAAGACGAATAGATGTTCATTTTAAGCAAATGCGTTTTATAATTTTGTTAAAACCGTTCAAAACAGTCATTTTGAGCTGGGCCGTCTTAAGAACATAGGGGGACTTGGGCACTGGGGCCCCCAGCAACACAACACACCAGGGTCGTTAGAAGGGGGGTGAAGTGGGGCACTCGCCCTATGCTCAAGCAGTGGGGGGGGGGGGCGCAAACAGTTGTTGCTCCCAACCCAACTCACCAAGAGGAATAACATTGTAAAATAAGAACAAACACTCAATGAAGTTAAAAATAGGTTAATTCAACTTATTTATATCCCCCCAAAAAAATTCATTCCAGTGCAATAATGGTTTTAAAACATTATCAGAAATACATAATAATTCATCCCAGATGATGATAAATTATCAGGTTCTCCATTTTATTACTTAGTCTTTCTGCCTCACACCTCGGTTTTTTCCCCCCTATCAGTGTCAGCTGATACAGAGTCCAGAGCATCTTGTATTTTTTTAGAAACGTTGACGGCATCAAAATGTGCCGACCATCTTGTGTCAGACAGATACTTTACGACAACGAGAGATTTTACTAAGGAAGATACCAGAACATTCCATCGATGTGTGGAAGCTGAGAAAAGGGTATAAAGGAACTGAAAAAAAGTCAAAAATTCTCCAACATGTAGACAACACTCTACTGCTTTTAAGCCCACTAAGTTCAGGATGTGTCCAGCACAAGGGACATACACGGCAAACTCGTGCTTGCAATCCAGTGTAGCGTCCAGACATATATAAATTTTAAGCTTTGTCATACGATTGACCGCCGATTGAAGGCGGAATTTCGTTCTCATTCAGGAAATCCAAAACATTTTCTGCTCGATCCTTTGATACACAACAGTGTCTGTTAGATCCTTTGCTCCATGGGAAAATATGGAAATTAACTTGATAAAATGTTCCACAGACTTACATCCTCGAATGTACCAGACCGTGAATGTCAGTTGATCAATGTGGGAAATGTCTGAAGTGGAATCATAACTTATTGAATAATATTTGTCTCTTTAATTTATTACAGAATAGCACAAAAGACATGTTGCCCCATTACATCAATACATTGTTCTCAAATATTTGCTGACAAATATGATGTGTTACCCTTTCCAGCATTGCCATACAGTTTGAGATACTCTTCCAAAAAATTCACTCCGCAGCTCTAAAATACATAAACAATTTCCATTGTTTACTGACCCAATAGTTTGACCCAAACCTCTAGAGGCAAGAAAGCAAACGACATAAACCCCACGAGTCAGAACTTTATGCCAGTACTTCTGTTTTGACCTGTGGTCTTTGATTAATAAAGGACCTAAACACCTAGCTTCTTTCAATCGAAGAAAATATACAGACATGTCCTTGCGATGCACTGCTCCATTTTCATGTTCAACAATAAGATTTTTATGTTTCCAGTACTTAAATCCTGATATAGCAAAGGGAAATACTTTTTGGGACAAAAGATGACACGCAAAACAATACAAACAACCTTGGTGTGGTGAATAGAGAAGCCATTCAAGTTTTACATACTCGCCATGCCGCAGTTCACGTTTGAACATATTTCTTGATAATTACCTTGTCTTAGTTCTTTCTTCTCCAGCTCTGCCTGAGTTTGAAAGGTTGCAGTCATGATCCTGACACAATGATGGCCCACCGCGAATTCAGTACTCAACTGTACAAGTGTTCTTAATATGCCATAGCCCGGGATCTGTGTGGTGAATCACACTCTCGTTTTATGATACAGTTTTGTGTGTTTCATTTTTTTTCAATTTCCCCAGCAGTTGAAATAGGTAATGGCATTGTCTGGAACTATATGGCTGGATCCAATAGAGGATGTAGAGGCTTTTTTTATTTTGATGTGCAGTATTAGTCACTGATATTTCGATTGGATTTAACCACGATGTTAATTTTGCAAGTTTACCCGTTTTCCTTGTCTCCTCAGCTCTTTTTCTCTTCTGTGCTCCAATTATAAAACTAATTTTTTATTCCCGGTTAAGGGGTTAAACACATAGAAATATATTCATTGGTTACAAGTATTTCTATAGTATTAGCAGCAATCCGTTTAAAAGATACAGGTAATTATTTAAAAAAAAAATGGATTTGTCTGTCCCTTTCAGACTGACACGTGCTCCGCTAAAAACGAACATCGGGAAATGATCAATAGAAATGGTGCCATAAATAAAATCGATCTCCGTGTTTGAGCTACCCGGTATGAAAGATGAAAATGACTTTGAGCTTTAAACAGTGAGCACAAATTATGTCTAATGCCTATATATTTCTGCCTACAGCTCAGACATATCGTGACTGTTGGGTTCTATTTATCAATCTAAATATGTTTTTCAGACACAGAATACAAAATATTTAACTGTTGAAAAAAATATAAAGTTATTTGGGTTTTGTTTTTTAAGAATGAATTTACTTTAAAAAGAATTATTCATTGGTGACCTACATATTCCTTATACAATGCTAATTAAATTCAGTAGTACTTGAACTGGTGCAAGGATAGATTTTTCTCCATTAATTTCACTACGGAGCAGAGGCGTATCTAGGGTACAGCCCGGGGGCCAACATCTTTGTCTAACATGATTGTAAACAAATACTCTAACTTAATTATTTTTCGATTCATATCTGGGAGAAGTAAAACTTGTTGACGAGAGTTATTCCCCTTTAAAAGTTTAAAATGTATCCAACTTGTTATTCGCATTTATAATATTAATTTTGGAACGTGCCGATAAAATAGTGGGTTAAAATTGGGAAACGTGCTGTCCACTGATTTTTAAATCAAATTTAATTGACAAAACTTTTCAATATTCATTAACAATATTTGCAACACGAAGCCTTTATAAGAGTGAGTCTCCTAGAGGCAAGGGGCCCCCTAGAAGCGCGTGACCCTGGGCAAGTGCCCACAGTGCCCATGCCTTAAGACGGCTCTGATTTTGAGTCATTTCAATGTACCAGCGTTTATCAACAAATCAATGCAATCATATTTTCTATGAGACTAGAGAAGGAAAAAAAAAATGAATTGGATGGAGCTATCCCCCTCTCCCAGCAGAAAAGAGGAGATATATTCATGGGCGCCCGCGGGAATTTGCTCGTGGCCGGTAGGAAGGGGACAAACTTTGGACATTCTTTTTCATAATTTAAACACATAATTGAAAGCTAGAGAGCGTAGAACTATGTTATAATAGTAGGCCTAACTTTTTTAATTAGAGTGGTTTTTTTTTTACATACATAAAAAATGGAAATTTGAAGGAAAAAAATTCCTTTCTTTAAAAAAAAAAAAAAATTTAAGATTATAATACAAATTAGTATATTAATTTTTTATAAATTTTTTAATTAGAGTGGTTTTTTTTTACATAAAAAAAAAAAGGAAATTTGAAGGAAAAAAATTTCTTTCTTTAAAAAAAAAAAAAAAGTTAAGATTATAAGACAAATTAGTAGACTAAGCTTTTCTTGATATTCTTTAATTGAACTTTTTTTTAAAAGGAATTGAATTCGGCGTTATCTTTTCCAAATATTTCAGTTATTCTCTTTATTAACTCTGCCTTATTTTTTTTCACACTCAAACGATGTACACTAGATCAAACACAACCCTGGAAGACGTTCCTCAGTCATTGTCAAACGAAGCTAAGTTTTAACTCGTTTGAGGGTACTAAATGAACACCCCTACGGTACATGTTGTTATTGGTAAAGTAAGTGCAAGAATATTTACTTGGCGAATAGATGGTAAAAAGTATGTGCTTGGAACAAATTTATTTTTGGGTCTAAAGTAGTCTTCTTCAGAGTCGGGACCTTCACTCCTGTAGTTTGAGCAACTAGGATTGCTGTGATGTAGCTGCTGTCCACTAGGGCTCTTCGTCTCAATTTTAACTAAAGCTAGAAGAGCCAAGACTTTTTCATAAATATGTGGCTTCAAATGAGTTGCAACACTCTGACGATGTTCACGGAAAATGTCCGTTAATTTATAGATATCTTTATGCATGGGCGCCCGCAGAAAACTTTCTAGGGGGAGGGGGGCAAAAAAATCGATTAACTTTCCAGGGGGGGGGGGCAAAAAAATTTAGTAATGTTTTAATGTAGTTTTAATTTACTGTAGCGTATTTGTATGGTGAACGAACGGACAGGACATCAGCTTAGTTACTTTCTCTTTGTTTTCTCTTTGCTTTAATACATTTTTTGTCTATTTTTGTCTAAAATTTTTTTATCCAATCAATCCAGGTAGGGGTAAGTGCCCCTTCTCTTGCCCCCCCCCCCACCCCCTGCGGGCGCCCATGTTTTTATGTACACTTACCAAACCCAACTGTATGGCTTATAATGATTGAGTAGCTGGTTCCAGTATCGCTGAGTATGCAGAGATAATCAAAAGAATTATCAGAAATCTAGGCGAAGAATATGAACACAATAGCTTATGATCATCTTGTCGCGTTTTCCCCAGTGTCAATCGCTGCCAAATTGTGCAGTGGATTGCATGTGCAAAAAGGGGTTGGGGGGGCGACGATGGGTAGCGCTGTGTTTTAGTGTGGAGCAGGAAGAGAAATCGGTAGCAAAACTTGAAAACAAAGGTACATAAATACAAAGGTAGACTTAGCACTTAGTTTTTTAATATTTTTTTGTGTGTTGATTATAGGAATAAGCTCATTCATTGATCTATTGATTTTAGTCAGAGGATTGTCCATGGGCGGTAAATATATTTTTTACTCATTCTCTTGTATTTTATGAGTTTTTTCCCTTTATATGCGTACAATTTTTTTTTTTGTTTTTTTTTTTTTTTTGTTTTTTTTTTTTT